GATGGATGGATGGATGGATTATGGATGGATGGATGGATGGATGGATGGATGGATGGATGAATAATGGATGGATGGACGGATGGATGGATGGATTATGGATGGATGGATGGATGGATGGATAGATGTATGGATGGATGGATGGATGGATGGATGGATGATGGATGGATGATGGATGGATGGATGTACAGATGAAAATAGTTTATTTTCAGTAATTGTTTATTTTCTTGTTAAATATGAATCATTTTTTTCAGTTGAATTGAATTAAAAGGTTTTTCTCTGTTTATTTTGTTTCATTTTCTTGCTCTTCTTGATAATATCTCACCCTGCTGGCTGCTTAAATAACAGAAAATTAAAAAAAATGAGTATAATAAACTCTGTACAGCCACATATTAAATGACCAAATAGATCAGAAATGAACCATTAAAGCAAATTAAACATGTAAAAGTAAAACAATATATGAATAAACCTTTTATAAGCTGTTTGCTTTCAGACACTTTCTTTCTACTTTTCAGTTAAACCAGATTTTAGCTCAAATTCTTTTATGAATAATTAATTATTAACTTAATTCTCCTCATTAAAATCAATTTTGAGACCATCACTGTAGCCTCCAATGTGACAAATATTCTTTTGTCTGTGGCTGAGCACAGATGACAACCAAGTTATTCTGAGTTTTCAGATGTTATATAAGGTTTGATTGGACAGAAGGTTTGGAGTGGAACTGGTCCAGACTCTGTAACTGTTGTTGGTCCAAGGACACAGCCGGGCTGCCAGAGAGGAAACTGACCCACTTACTGAAGGAAAACAGGCAGCGTAAATACTTCCACTATATCTGAAAATTATACAGCGGCAAGACCAGCCCTGATTTATTAAACTGGACTGGGTTTTAGCTTCATGGAGTTTAGCCTTTTTTTACTGACTCATTTGCTGGAATAAATTTAGTAAGTTGTTTGCTTGTTTTAATTCATGTGAAAAATAACTTAATAAAAACTTTAAATCTGTCGTCTCTCACCCATCGACGTCATTGCAAGCGTCTGCCGCCCAACGAACTGGGCGGGGCCCATTCCATCCAGGAAGTCACTGAACTGGGCGTCTGATGCGAGACACATGCCGCTGTAGTTCAGACTGAGCAGAGACAAATAAAGAGACGGTTAAACAGACGACTCTCACTGTGCTTTCATTAGCAGAAGAATGTGATCGACTCAAAGAAAACCAAAGCAGGAGACGAGAAAGCAAACAGACACAAAGGCACAGGAATAAAAAAGATACAATAGAACAAAATGAAAGAAATATAAAATAAATTACGTAATGTTTATCAGTCAGGTTAGTTAGTCACATGCAAACTAAGTGAAAGTGAAACTAAACCAACAAGCAGTCCTAATTCATGTTTTCATTTTGTTATTTTTTTAAGTGTGTATTTAAATAAACTGGATCAAAGTGCTTTAGTGGCTGTCTGCCAGCTCCTATAACTCATGTGTGTGTGTGTGTGTGTGTGTGTGTGTGTGTGTGTGTGTGTGTGTNGTGTGTGTGTGTGTGTGTGTGTGTGTGTGTGTGTGTGTGTGTGCTTGTTTTTGCTAAGAGTGAGGACTCAAGAGAGGACTATGCAACGAACAAAGTGGGACGTTTTTGAGAAGTGAGGACATTTTCTCTGTCCTCATCTTTTTTGCAGCTCTCAGGTTTAGAGGTTTGATGTGAATGAAGTTTTAGTTCAGGTTAGGTTTAGAAATAGACAGAGATAGGAACTCGAGTCACATGACTTGGACTCAAGTGTGACTCAGGTCATTAATATTATGACTTGACTTATAACTTGATATTTACAACAGCGAATCAGGACTTTAAATTTGACCCTGGTTACTTGAAAAGACTTGATATTTTACACAAAATCTAAAGTTTAAAACATTATTTTTAAAGTGGGCCCATTATGAACGAATGAACGAACGAATGAAACCTTAATGATCCCATGAAGGGAAATTACAGTTCGGAACAACCCATTCAAAAAGATATAGACAAGTAAATTAATTAAATTCACTCATTCTGTATTATAAAGGCAGATCATCAAACTTTTTCTCACCCTCTGTACACACTGTACACTGTACTGATATTAAGCTGTTGAAATTAAGTTTACACTTAAAAGGGTATTGGGTATTCATGACAATTTTATAGTTTAAAACAAAAAAGTGTTTAAGACGCATTTTCTGCAGTTGTTGTCTTCAACAATGGTTTTAAAATCCCAGTTTGTTTCAATGTAAATGTTGCATAATGTAGGCGTACAGTGACAATAGACAAAACTAAAGTTGTCTCACAAATTGTTCTGTTATCCTTGTCTCTAAAAGTCAACTGCATTTTATATCAATAAGAATCTTTGACATCTGTATATAAGGTCTACTCATCAAATCTATATTCATCATTTGATCARAAAGAATAAATAAATAACACTGTAATATCATTATAACTTACACTTTTTATAAATTTAGGAGTAATGTAAATATAAAAATAATAAAACTGTTATTTACAGTGAAATATATTGTATTAATAATATGTTGTAACCACCCCCAAACAATGTTACAACTGTTCCCAGCCCCGGGGTCAGTTGCAACATCTGACTTTTCATTTTCAAATACAAATAGTGAAGAATGTACATGCTTTAAATCTAATACAAATGTTTTGACTATTAACAGACAGATGTAAGTTTATTGTATTAAAATTTGGTTTGTTTAATTCAAACCATCTCTGAGTAACAGATTCAAATGTAAAAAGTGTTGCAACTGTCCCCGGTCTCCCCTACTTTAGCTTTCATGTTTTGGTCAGACCCAACATGTTACAAAACAAATAAAACATGATAACATAATCTTAAAAATCCTAATTTAGCGCAGATTTTTTTCCATCAACAACCAATCATGTGGTTACAAACCAGCTGAAAGTCAGCTAACAGCTAACAGCTAACACCAAGCTAATTCCCAGGTCCATCAGTTGAATGAACTTGAAGCTTTTGTAACATTTGCCTCCATGCAGCTGCAGGGGGGGGGGGGGGGCTGACGATGTGGACTCATGTCATGAACTCTGTAAACATGTTCAGAGCAACGGTTCAGTTTCAGTGATTTAGTGGTTTTAGTGGTTTCAAACCACTGCTGCTCCTGTTGACCGTCGTCTTCAGAACGGAGAGTGAGCAAACACCGACAGGCTTGATTAACCACGAGCGCTCCTCTTTTCTTTGGTATTTATCTTCCTTTCACCTCCTCTCTCCAGAGCGCTCATCATTTCCTCGTTTATTTCTGGTTTGTGCAGGTTTGTAGTCTGCAGCCACTTCAGTCCCCTCCACTTCAAATTATTTCATCTCTTTCTTAATGTTTTTTACCTTGTGCTCATCACAGCCCTGAATTCTAGCTGCTCACTCAAAGAAACGAGTGTATGAAATAAAAATAAGATATTGTTTTCTGCACAGTATCTTATTTTTATTTC